GAAGGGAGGTATAAGGGCGGGGGAAAAAGGGCATTACGATTAGCATGTATAGTGGGGGGGCACGGGGAGGGCTGTGCAACACAGAGAAGACAAGTAGTGATTTTACAGCATCTTACTACGCAGATGGACAGTGACTGTGGAGGGGTATGTGGGGGGGACTTGGTGAAAGGGGGAGCCTAGTAAACATAATCTTGATGTAATTGTAGATTAATGATACCAAAAAAAAAAAATGGGCTAAAGACCGTAACAGACATCTCACCAAAGAAGATAGATGGCAAAGAAGCGTGTGAAAATCATATTCATTGCTGGTGGAAATACGAAATTGTACAGCCACTTTGGAATGTTTGGCAGTTTCTTTAAAAATTAAATATACTCTTAGTAAATGATTCAGTATTCATGCTGCTTGGTGTTCTGCCCAAAGAAGTTGAAAACTTAGGTCTACTCACATACCAGCACATGCATGATTTTTACGTTCCTTGTTTAGTTTCATTTTACATACGAATGTTGGTAGCAGCCTCTTCATAACTACCAAAACATGAAAGCAGCCAAGGTATTCCTCAGGAGATGAATGGATAAAGGAACATCCAGATAGGCCATTAAAAGATGTGAAGGAACCTTAAATACATACTACTTAGTGAAAGAAGCCAGTCTGGAAAGGTCATATGCTGTATGATTCCAACTCTGACATTCTAGAAAAGAGAAAATGGTGTGAGTGGTTGCAGGCGGCGGGAGGAGTGATGAACTGGTGGCCAGGCAAGGCACAGAGGATTTTTATGGTAGTGAAAATACCCTGTATTACACTATAATGGTGGATATGTCATTGTATGTTTGTCCAAACTGTAGAATGTACACCACCTAGAGTGAACACTAATGGACTGGGTGATTGTGATGTGTCATTGCAGGCTCATCAGTTGTAACAAATGCACTATTCTGGTGAGATGTTGATAATGAGAGGCATTGTCAGGTAGGGGTATATGAGAAATCTCTGCCTTCCTCGCAGTTTCACTGAACCTAAAAGTGCTCTTTTAAAAAGTCTAAAAAAATGAATAGAGACCTTCAAACCCCCAAGCTGTAGGCAGAGAGGAACATCTGTAAAACACTCAGTTGAATATATGGTCTACTCTGAGAAAGCAAGTATGATTCAGGTGGCAGAACTCCAGTCATTCCTATGGAGCAGTAGTTCCTTAAGGAACCAGCATAAAGAAAAAAAAAATTAATGACATGTTAAAGATCATAAGACAGGCTTTCATCAGGACCATCAGAGTAGGGCTAAGGGGCCACTGCAGACGGGATTTTGCAGTGAGGGAAAGAGATTGAGCTCAAATCCAAATATAGCATGGGCAAGTGAGAATTTATAACCAAAGAGCAGGGTGGTTAGTGATGGAAAATTAAGAGGAAGCATCTGGGTAAGGGGGATTCTGGCTGATCAGAGTTAACAGGATTATTGCTGAAGACAGGCCAGATGATCAGAAATTACCTGCAGGATGTGGAAGATGAGAGAGCTGAATAGGTACCATGAGTGATCAAATACAGAGGATGGGAAACTTGCTAAACTGAGAGTTCTTGCTAAAAGTGGATTTTATAAGGAAGTGTACAGATGGAACTGATAGAAGTTTCAGAAGAGTGACTAAAGTTTGATCAAGAAGAGATTCATTGTCACATTGCATTTTGTTGTTATCATTTGGAAAATAGTTAGACAAGGGGAGAAGGATTTTCAGATAGTTGTGAATATTCTTTGATACTTCACCAAAAGTCAACCAAGTTCTTAAAGGTGAATTGCACTGTGGAGTTACAGAATTCCATCAGTGACCTCTTCCTATTCTGCTACTGTTTACATGAAGCATTCCATGGATTGTCACTTCATCTTCATTACAACTCTCTTGAGGGAGCCACTGATACTACTCTCCTACTTAATGATTTATGTGACATGAAATACCCACCATCATTTCTGACAGATAATAGCTCACTGTTTGGTTTTAACCCATCCAATCTTTGGAGCTAAGAGGAACCCCAGTTACCGATGTTCCAGGCATTCTGGTCCCATCCAGAATTAATAGCAAATTTATGCTCTTCTGGGTTTGTATCTTTGTGTCCAGATTTTCAGAATTATTATATGCCTTTGGGCAGAGAACTCACAGTTCAAATAAGACTATACATGTCTCCACACAAACCCATTGTCAGTATTTAAGCTGACCCAGAACTGCCAGAACTGAATCTGCCCTTGCTCTCAAAATCTGGCCAACTAATAAATTGTAAAGAATGTGAAAGGCACATTTTGGCAAAAGTGAATAGCTGAGACAGGTGGTCCCAGGCTGGACCTTGACAGAAGTAAAGACTGGCCCATGGTTTTGCAACTGATGCTGGAATGGACAATTTTCCTTCCATTTCTTTCCCCAGTCTTGTTCTGGAAGTCATACAGCAAGTTGCATCCATCTGATTGCACATACACATCATTGTACACTTTTGTTAGACATCAAATATTTCAGAATATAAGCATGCCAGTAATTAAGCACATGGTTTTATTATTAAGCCAGTTACTCTGTAGATCCCAAGGTGAACCTGACAACACTACTGCTGGCTCGAGACCTATTGAGTCAGCATGAAGTAATCAGAATAAGATTGACCTTTTTTTTCAATCAAATAGCTTAAGTAATCATCATCCTTCAAATTCAGAACCACAATAACTCAGTGAAAAAGTGAAAGGCTGATTATTTATCCCCGCTGTTTTGATACCTGTAGCAGTATAGTTGATTTAATGTCAGATTATCCCAGACATAGGTGTTGGTTTTCAGAAATCTCAAGAATATTAAAGATTTATTGCTGTCACCAGAAATAAGAGGAACTAAATCTTCGTTTGTCAATTGCCAAAAAAAAATCTTAGCATTTGACAAGAGAAGGTAAATACTTAAAAGGTATACATGAGCATTTAATGAGGATAGAGGTTTTAGTTTTGAACTCCAAATCCTCCAGATTTAGTCCCTGTAAATTTGTATTCAAGGTATGTTTCTGCTCTTAACCCCTAAACGTGCTGCAATCTTACGAGCTTTTAATATTGTATAAATGTTGAGGCGTTTTTATAAAAAAAAACTAATCATGTTAAAAATAATTTGAAAAATGATTGATTAAATATAGAAACCAGAAATGTGAAGGTTTCAAATGGAAGAAAACCTATTGAGATTTAAAGTCTGGCTTTCAGTTTTGAGGTCT